TGCTATTTTAGCTAGCATTGGGTTACTTTTATCTAGCTTTTTGACACTTCAAGCTAGCATTTTGTTACATTGAGCTAGCATTTTGTTACATTGAGCTAGCATTTTGACACATTTAGCCTACCTTTGACAACAATTAGTCATCATTTGGATACTTCTAGTATTTAGCTAGTCTTCTGACATTTTTAGCTGCCTTTATGCTACTTGAACTAACATTTAATAACTTTGAGCTAGCATTTTGCTACATTGAGCTGGCATTTTGACATTTTTAGCCTACCTTTTACAGCGTTTACCTATCCTTCAGACATTTTTAGCTTTTAGTTTACCTTCTACATTTTTAGCTATCACCATGCCATTTCTAGCTAGCCCTTAGCTACTTTTAGTCAACATTTGCTACATTTATTGTTTTGAAACCTGTACTATCCTTTTAGACATTTTTAGCTTTAGGCTTTCCCACAATTTTTTGCTAGCATTGACATGTTTGTGTAGAATTTAGCTACTTTTAGCCAACATTTTGCAAGTTTTAGCTAGCACTTTGACAATTTGTTCTAACATTTAGTGACATTGAGCAAGCATTTTGACACGTTTAGCCTACCTTTTATATTATTTAGCCATCCTTTTTAATCTTCTAGCTTTTAGCTAGCCTTCTGACATTTTTTACCTTCCGTTATGCTACCTTTGGCTACGTTTAACATCTGTTTCGTGTAGAAAATGAATTTTTTTCTCTTTAATTCATAGTTTTAAATTCATGTTTTTGTTCGTCAAAGATTTTTTCTTTCATCTCTTTTTTCTTCGTGATCTTTTATTTGTTTAAAACAGTCGGAAATGGGAGTTCCCGTCTTCACCTCACATCTTAGGTTGTTTCAGCTGAAAACACACAGCTAAGCCCCACCTGTGCCCCCAGAGGTCACCTGGAGGACTGGTCCACACACAGCAGAAACATGGTGTTTTTATGAGATCTGAGGGAAAACAGAACGTGTTCTGGTTCTGCAGAGGCTCATGAAGCTCCTCATGTTTTCACACACTCTTTAAATTTAACGTCGGCCTTTATGTAACCACTCAGAGRCTAATCCACCTCTTGACCCAGCCATCCAGAACTTCCAAAACTTCTTCTTGATCCCTTTTTTCATTTCCACGCTTCTTCCCACTAAGCCTCTTCTGACAACAAAATTAGCCCCCCAGGCCTCGGCTGACCTAAAAATGTTATTTTAAAGCTGCAGTGAGTGAGAACACGTGGCTGGTTCTGAGGATTTATGATACAAGTCATTAAAAAAAGGTTTGGTTTTTGAGTTCTAACCTGTAAAAACCTGATTGTTTTTCATTTAACTCATAGAAATGTGAGCTGACACGWTGAGTCAAAGGTTCAGGTTTGGTTAGTTTGCTAATCGTTTGTCTTTTCATTAGTTTTATAAAATTTTTGTCATTCGTTTAAATCACTTCCTGCTCCTCCGTTCTTCCCTGCTCACTTAGCCACAGCTGCAGCCACTTCTCTCATTAGCCAGAGCCTTTTATTCCTGCAGTTTTCACTGCATCAGCAGCCGACCATTATTGGTTTTTACTCCAATTCCGGTCATCCTTGTGTTCCTTTGTGTCTATTTATTGCCATGAACAAGTGGACAAAGTACAGTAGATACAGCGGGTAAATTAAGTATTGAACACGTCACCATTTTTCTCAGTAAATATATTACTAGAGGTGCTAATGACATGAAATTTTCACCAGATGTCGGTAACAACCCAAGTGACAAATAATTCAAATTTTTGTCATTTTGTCATATTACAAATAACTTCATTTCTGGACATTTATGGTTTGATTTC